AAGAATCACATTTCTAATGCAATAATCCTATCTGCAGTGAGTGTGGAAGAAATTACTACAGGCCAGGGATTTTTACAAAGTGAATTAAGTCACTATAAAAACTGACCATGTTGGTTCACGATTAAATGTCTGGCAGAATGCAAAACCATTATTCCATAGCTTGCTAAACCTTAAAGCAGAGATTACTGCTCACATGTTTCTACTGGGAATGTTTTTATAATCCCTAAAATGTTTCAGAAAATTTTTAATGATTAAGTGCTACAGGACTTTTTCATTACTGATATTATCTATTAGCTGATCCTTTATCAAAATACCTCCAAAATGGAAAAGATTCAAGTGGGGCTTTCTGAAGACAGCCATGTGTTCTAAGAAGATTTCAGATAGAATTTTCTCGTAATTAATAAATATTTAAAATGCAGTATGTATTTTATCTATTTATAAAGTATCTTACAACGGCTTCTAATAGAAGCTTTTTAAATAGAGTTATTTTTTCATACCCTTGTTTTGGAGCTGGGAAAATACAAAATATATATATAAAACCTCGAAGTCTAGACTTACTTGGGCTCTAGCTATTTAGAGTCCACGTTTGGTGTTTTTAAACCCTTATGACACATTCCTTTCTTTCATCTCTGTGATTGCTGGCCACCCTTCTCAGTATGTCCAGCTAATCTTCCTGATATTTCTGGGGCATAAATGGACCCAGAATACGTGGCTGAGAAAAAATCAGATAGGAATGTCATTCTGGACCTTTTTTTTACATAAAAGGAGATTCTTTTTTTTTATTGATATGGAAATGAACAGATGTCTGATAACCTTTTGCCAAACTGGAACATTTCTGCTTCCTCCAGGGAATTCCTTTGGGCTGGTGTTTCGTAGGGCTCACACTGTCAATTCAAAAGTTCTGTCATGGATATTAGAATGATCTAGGATAGCCCCAAAACGGGAGAGTCATTCCTTGGCCCCTATTTCTGGCTTGGTGCCTCGACTGCGTATAAAACAGGAAAGACACTCTTGCCAGTGGATATAAAATGGCTTTAGATTTACACATGGGAACACTACAATGGGTTAAAGGACTGTTTTGCTTAAAATCCCAACACTTTACAAATCCACATTCTTTTGTTTTATCTGCGCTCTTCCACTTACCAGCCCTAGAAAGGAAATGATATAAACCCAGTAAGTACTTTCTTACTGACTGGGGTAATAAAAATCAATCCCAGCGTTTTACAGTCGGCCACCAGGCACAAATCTTTACTTACCCGGGTAAGCTGCTATTCGAAAAGATGAATCCAGGACATCATTAAGAGTTATATGAGCTCATGGTTGTCACTTCTACATTCCAGAGTCTGTTTATCCCTAAATCAGCCTCTACTCTCTAACTGTTTGCAGAAACCTCAAACTCAGCTGCGTGGAAAACCACACCCATCCTCCTCCTCTCTGAGCTCACCCAAACCTGTGTCACCTCCCATTTCCTGCCTCAGTTAATAACTCTCCCCGCCCACCCAGTTACCTAAGCTGGAAACCTCCAAAATCACTGTGCCTTCTCCCATGAAGCCACACTGGAGGCTCAGAACAGGGCAGTTACCCCTCAGGACAGCAGAGCCGCTGTCTTACCTCCTGGGACCGGCCAGGCACCCGCCTGGGCTCTCCAGCACTTCATCTCCCCTTCTCAATGAATTGTCCCAGAAACAAAACGAGAAGAATTCAGTACGGCTTGCTACCACCTACCGTTGGGAAAAGTGTGAGAACTCAAAGTGAGAACTCATATGGCGGTGTAACGTTTGGGAAATCTACTGTCGAAATTGAAAGCGGATAATGTTTTCTAAGAAAAATCTTAAATTCTGTAAAACATAAATTGAACAGAATCTTGTCTAATTAATAATCATTGACCCTCACGTCCCTCTCCGAAGAATGAGGCACTTTTCAAACCTTATTTAGTAACTTTTATGACATTCTAGCAGTCCCAATCATTCTTTTCCTTAGTGTATTAATGGGAAAGTTAAATATGCAGAGGAAAACTGATTTACTCAATGCGACAAAATAAATCAGTGGTACAGAAAGCACTAAACCGAATTCATCCTAAAATTATAAGGTTCCTGAGTATGCTAGTCTGCCTTTGATATTTAAATGCTTACCTAGGAGATTTTTAAAACCACCTAGCGGAATTTAATACTTTATTTAAGAAAATATTCCCCAAATACGGTTAAGCATCTTAAGCTAATTACAAAGATGATTTTTGCTAATTACCCCTCAAAAACATGTCTTTATCTTCCAGACTCTTACTCTCCAGAGCGAAGTACATGCTGGAGTCACAATGACACCTCTTGTTCTAATGGAACCTAACTCCTTCTGTGCCTGAGTGCCCCAGAGGTCCAGTTTGCTCACAAACCCGGCATTGGGAGTAGAGAGGCCTTGTCTCTGAGTTACACGGGCCTCTATCCATGGTGCTCCAGAGAACACAGCATCTGTTTAGTTAAAATGTTACAAAAATTAAAGGTATAATGGAAATTGTGCCCAATCTGAGGGTACCAATGTTTTAAAAAGAAAAACAAAACAAAACTCTAAAATTATTATTCTCAGAGGCTTGTAGAATGTTTTTGGTTAAAATTGAGGCCCACACTTTGTCATTAACAACGAGGTGACCCAAATCACCGCTGTTGCTCACTCAGCCTGTGCACTCGCCTGTACCGGATGTCACGCTGCGCCGTGCTACGTCACATGTAAAGGTCCAGGCCACTCCGGCACTGCGTGATAGTCCTGCGTGCGCTTGAAAGTGACCCCGAGTGACCGCCCCCACGACTGGCAACTCTTCTCTCCATGCGCCTGGGTCCCCGGAAGTCGGTGCAGAGCCCCGAGGTGCAGCGGCCCCGACGCTCCTCCCAGAATCACCACTGATAATGTGATCAGCTTCCCGCATGGCTTTTATTTTACCTCGTAAATAAAAGGGCCAAATATGGAGCTGCCTCCTATGACACTGTGAATGAATTTTCCAGGCTGCTTCAACAAGACCAAAAATCTACTTTGTCACATGACTCCATAAAATACGATAGATGGATTTAAGTGTCAACATTTGTTTCTTCTTCCTATAGAATTCCTTCCCTCCCACCATTTTGTGAAAAGAGGATATTTTGATTTACCTTTGCTCACAAGGAGCGCTCAAACAACAACACAAAGAAATTATTGTAAGAACAGTTCCTCAAGAACGTTCCAGAATGATCTGGTAGGCCGTGTAACTTATTAAGATTTCCAAGTATCAGATGTTATGTCTTTAAGTTTCTTCAAATGTTATCACGTGGCCTAGTCTGGTTATATGAACTCACAACACCCCACACTCTTCCTCAGTAGAAAACAAATCACGAATTGTGCATTATGTGGTTAATGTCTGTATCCTCCATTAGAATCTAAGCTCCACGAGGACAAGAGCTGTAGGTATCTGCTATCTCCTGAATGCCGGAGGAAATCAACGAATATTGATAAATGATCAAAAAAGCAAGTAAATTTTTAGGTAAAGAAACAGTGTAAAATTGAAGGAATGCAAGAAGCTTTTAGAATCCCCAAGATGTATTCTTGGGGTGTCCTGATGGTTCTATTGTGAAACTACAAAAATGGCATACTCACAACAATCCGCGAGTTAATTATTCTCGAGATAAATTCGGGATTCATAAAACCAATTCTCTTGGTGGTAGTTTTCCACATTGAAGATTTTACATCTTCTGTATTTGTTAAATTTAACCCATACCTATGAAAACATCAATGCATGTGTATTTGGATAAGCAGATGAGGCGAGCAGATGCAGTTATTTCCAAAGGCCGCTACTGAAAATCACAAGATTTCATTTCAAAAGTCACAGAAATATATCAGAAAATGCCATTGGACAACCCCTATCAGAAACCTCCACAGCAATCCACTCTGTTTTCTTGATATTTCTCTCCAACCACTGATAAAAACTCTTTGAAGTGCAAGAGTAAATATTATCATTTGATAGCACTTGGACCCAACAGTGCAAATACAATTGCATTGTGTTCCACGCTGGGGGCTCCTGGCACACACCCCCAGGCCCGCAGGGTTGCCATGGAGGACCCGGTGTGCTTGGCGCTGGAGCAGGCCAGGAGGTGGCCCTCCTCCGAGGAGCTCTCCACCCCTTCGTCTTCCTCGGATGCTTGGAATGCTAGGGGGAAGGCTGGCTTTCCAATAGGTGTTTCTGGTTTTGTGATCCTGGGAAAGGACCACAACCAGGCCATGGGAAACGCCAACTCCTGAATGTCCCACCGACATTTTTGTAAAGGATCATGGGTGGGGTTGGGGAGAGAAATCTAATGAGCAGGCCAGCGGGCCCAGCGGGGGGCGGAAAGGAAAGGATTCCAGGAGCTGGTGTCGGCGTGTCCCTGGCCTGCCACCCGCAAAGGTTTGCGGGCGCGCGCGGAGAGGGTCTCGGGGGAAGGCAGCACCGCGCAGGTCCAGCGGGTGCGGGGAGCAGGGAAAGGGGCTCTAAGGAGACGGGGACAGCAAGACAAATAACCTGCGGCATCCTCCGTGGTTGGTGCGGCCGGAAACCGCCAGCGCGGCAACCAAGCCCTGCGCCTCACCGTGGCCAGGTGAGGGAGACGCGCGGGGTCGT